CAGTCCTCCTGGCGCTTAACAGCATACACAACATTGCTGTTTGTGCCGGGGCACCGGCAGCCTTTGCCGTAATGTGTTTTGGGGTTTGAAAGCCACTGGGACATCATGTTTAGAAAATTGCTAATTTGTATTAAAGAGATTATCCATCAGCATATATTACTTATTTTAAAATTTCTTAATTGTAACATATATTAACAGAAACCRGACTTCAATATATTTACTTTGCAAACTGATCTGTTTGTTTTTACTTTGTAGATTCCCAGCCCTGCGTGTTTGTAGAGGTTTTCCTGCTGGTTTAAACCCGATGGGTCAGTAAATGGTTTCTGCAGAACATGATGATATAAAAACTGCAAGTCGGACGATCCTGAGCAGCAGGATTGTTTTGTTTTAAATATCCCATACGGAGCTGTTATTTATTTTATGCATCTATTCCAGTTCTAAATCTGCTTTGTTCTATTTAGAGCTGCAGACTGGATCCTGCTGTTATCAGATGAGAGGACAGATCATCWGTTCATCACAGGACAAATAGACCAAACAATTCATCGTCCAATCAACCTACAGTCCTCACTGAAGGGAGCGTTACGACTAATGTCCTTAAGACAAGATTTAACAAATAAGTTATTTCTTCTTTTTGTGSCAAACGCCATTAAAAACGATTGAACATCATTTATGTTGCCAGTTATTGAGTATGGATTGGTCTCTTTGTCAGAAAATTCAAGTTTCTACTAATATCTTGTTCCTTTACGTCAATATGATTATTATTTGCAGTCAGACAGTGCAAACTGTCACTAATGTTGTGAGCGTATTTATTTATTGTGACAAAAAYCAGACAGAAAAAATAAAAAGCTGAAACTATTTGATGATTTTTGCATTAAAACTGCTGCATTATTGAAGCAGGGGACATCGATTATTACTGCTCTTTTATCGACTTTACCTTTGTTCGTAATCAGCGAAGTCTATTTGGCAGCTCTAAACTGAGGTTTTTTTTTTTTGCAAAAAGTTCAAAGAAAGCAGCTTAAAATCTGAAATTATAAATAAATTTAATCTCTGGGCACATTGAATGATGTGGGATGCTGAAGACAAGAGACTAAACTCTGAAACAGGTCAGAAATAAAACCAAAACATCAACTAATCATCATCAACCTGAATCCAGACAACTTCAGAGACMGTTTCCAAAACGTGTTTTCTCCTCTGTTCCTCTTGACCTTACAGTGACCTCAACGTTTCTCCCTCCATAACTTCGTCCACTGGTTTGCAGTGTGGAGTTGTCCCCTGATGTGGGACTTTTATTCACAGCAGCGGCTAAAAAACCCACCATCGAGCAGCAGATAATTAAWACAGTCCAGATGTACGAGAAGCTCAGCAGAAAATCTCCACTGACCACATTTTCAAGGACACACGAGGAAACAAATATATATAAAAAAGATGGTCCGGTTTATAAAAGACACTAAAGAGCTTGAACCAAAAAATAACATTTTAAAAACTCGTTGTGCCGGAATCAGTCCTCCCAACTTTTTTAATGTGCACTTTGAAAAATAAATACAATTTTTAAAAAAATGCAGCGATTGATAGAAAAACCCCACATGGCTCCTTTTTTATTTCTTTTATTTTTTTTACAAGGTCATAGCTTCAAATGATGGCAGAGGAAACTACGGCACACGAGCCTCTTTTTGCATAGCAACAACAAAAACTAAAACCACCACAAGTCGCCACGGAGCGGACACGTGCAAACACAAGTGCGCTGAAACTTCTGACTTCATCTGTTCGCTGCATCATTTACGAGCTCCTAATTAAACGTTTGTTTACTTTAATCTTGGCCGTTTTCTTGCGCTTCCATTGTCAACTTTTATGCGCGGCCTTAAAACTCTGATTCTGCTCTTAAATATCATTATTTGGATAAAATGGGTTCAAAAACAAGCATCCCCAGAGAAACAGGAGGCCCAGAARGCTGCATGCACAGGTAGTGGCCACTGTAACACATCAGCACCAGCAGAAGGGAGTGTACCTATCTTTACCTAGTGACAGGGAGAGCAGGCTGATCACAGGAAGGCTGCCTCTGCAAACTCATTTAAAGCACAAGTTTTYAATCAAAAGCCCCCCCTCTGTTAACTAAAACCCACCCTGTGAACAGTCATTGCATGAATGAGGGATGAATCGCACAGTTCTCAATAAAACATCACTGTTGTGATTGATACATCATGCATTATAGATACAGCATGACCTAGCCTCCCTCCAGCCACGCTGCAGTGTTAAATAGCACAAACATGACAGCTATGGGATGTATTTTTCTTTTTTTTTTTTTAGAAATAAAAAACAGCCCTAAATATCTGCCGCAAGTTGCGCCTGCAGGGGTTCGGACGAAGCATCACCCCGCTGCAAAAATGTCCAGAGAGCGCGCGCGCATCTCCTGCATCCCCATCCCTCAGCATCAGCACCAGCCGGGGGCTCGGTGTGTGTGGTGGGGGGGGGATGAGACGTGCGGCTCGCCGACACATTCTGAGGTGTGCGCAGGTTAGCCAGCGGTGTTTGCAGATGTGTTTACC